ATATATATATATATATATATATATATATATATATATATATATATTTTAACATGATCATTTTTTTGAAGGTATTGAAGCTGCTGATATGACCAGCTTGCTGGAGCAGTTTGAGGAAACCCAAGGTAATCAACGATGACTGGTTATTATTTTTATCCGTTTTCATACAACATCGCAGCACTCTTTGGTTGGCAGTAGTGGGTGAGAGGGTAGAAGGAATTTGACTAAAAGGCTTAAAGCAATAGATCCTGCCTAAAGAGGTTGTGCATGTGCTTAGAGGTGGATGTCCATTCCTCTGCTTTCATAGTCTTAGCAGGCTTTTCGTACGAGCTTGAAGCTCATCTGATCCTCCTAGAGAAGAAAGATTGTGAGGTTCTAAATGGCAGGATTTTATTTTTCTTACTGAAACATTCCCCTTTAAGAGATGTGTGCTGCGGGGGGGCAGAGAAGCTGCATTGTGCTCTTGTCCGCTCAGCTGCTGGAATTCTGCCCTGTTCGCAAATCCATTTAACTCTCGCCCTGCTGTCTTTGTTTGAGCGGATGTACGAGCCCCCAGCCCCAACAAGTAGCCGCACTCTGAACTTGTCATTACTTATGTCAGTGGGCTTGTTATTGAACCGTCCCACTGTGGACTGCAGCTAAAAACGCATGATAAAACTCACTGCTAGTATTACAAGGGCAAAACGCATGATACACTGCATTTACACCTGACATGCTGCAGGTTGCTACAGTTCATCCAATGTTGGTCAAGCAGAATTTTTATTTCTGTTTATTGGTGTGTGTTGCTCTGTTCATTTTGTCGTTCCTTGTGCTGATGCACTTACTTCCTTGTTCCTTCTCTCTTCAGCCAAAGAGGAGCAATGTATGCTGGAGGTCTCTGGTAGAGCAGCAGCTGTAGGAAACTCGAGGTGAGTTACCCTACAGCCCTCACGCTGCTCTGTGTGACTGACGGGAGTCACGGTTTCTCTAAATGAAACCTGTTAGCTGTGTGTAAAGATCACTCGCACACACCTTTTTGCCAAGACCTACCGCAAGCCCTGCTTTTGTCAGGCCAGCGTGATGGCTGTCTCGGTTCTAAATATGTGCAACCTGGCTTTGCGCTCTAATCAAGAGGTGGCAGCTACACAATTTCCCACTGATCGTAACCGACCCTGTGCTCCATTTACAGTGTTGAGCTGGCTCCAGAGAAAACAGTCGTGGAGCGCCTTAGAGCAAATGACCTCTCGAGTACTGCAGGTAATTCAGCATTTTGACTTTATGATGAGTCATTACGCTAAACCATTAAAGCGGATAAGGAAGAAGTTGTATGGCTTCATTAGATATGGTTATCTGAAATACTACATCGTGATCAGATGACCAACTGCACTTGAATGTTGTTTGTAACTGTGGTGCACTTTCTTTCCCTCTGCGTCAGCTTTGACTCCCCCAGCTACTCCTCCCCACCAGATGTGGAAACCCCTGGCCCCTGTGGCCCTGCTGGGAAAGAGCAAGGCTGCTGATGCCTCAAAGTCGAGCTCCTCCAAGGTTATCCAGATAGAGGCCCGGCCTCTGCCCTCAGTCCGGTCCCGCAGCAAACCCACTCCTGCTGCCGCCACTGTAGCCCCCGAGCTAGCATGTATGGACCACGACTACTGCCTCCCACACAAAGGCACTTCCACTGGAGAGCCAGGCCAGCGTTGGAATGTCAAACAGCCATCGTTTATCACTATTAAACCCATCGGGCAACCCACTAGAACCACTACACCAACACCCCCAGCTTCCCAGGCACCGTCTGCTCATCCTCCCATAAAGCTTGTGGTTACAACCAAAACACCAGTTTTTCCTGTGACGGAGCCCCTCGATCACAGGCCTGATGAGATGGAGAGAAGCTCTGTCCTGGAGACTCCTGATGCTTCGCCTGCTCATCAGGACACTGACGCCTCTGTTAAAGGAGGAAGCCCCAGGAGAAGGCCTTTTGGGAGGTCCTACCGTCAACATGCTGCTTCTTCACGCACGCCCAGTCCCGGATCTAGTCCCAAAGAGAGGACCGGAGGCCGGTCGAGGAAAAGAAGATCCCATCGTTCTCCCAGCCCCATGTCCAGCAGTTCAGAGTCAGACTCCCATTCCTCTTCATCTCGGTCTAGATCACACTCGCCATCTAAGAAAAGGTTAGGCCCACAGTCTGAATGTCTTGGGTTCATGCAGCATCTTGATGACAATTTCTAGGGGTTATGTTTTCCTGTCCATCACCGGCATGCTTTCCTATTTCCTCTCTAGGTGTCGTCTCCGTCACTCTGAAAGTAGTTCCAGCTCCTCATCCCGGTCCTCCTCCAGGTCCTCTCCCTCTGTGTCCCGCTCCCCTCCCAGGAGGAGGCGGTACTCGTATTCCTCCTCTCGGTCTGGCTCCTGGAGTCGCTCCAGGTCGCGGTCTCAATCCCCTCAATCCCCTCAGAGACAAGCTCAGTGGAGTAGAAGCAGAAGATTACACAGGTACTGTGTGTGTGTATATATATATATATATATATCACTTGTGTATAGCAAATACTTTACCGAGCGTTTTTTGAGAAAGGCTTCATCTAGTCTTCCTTTGTCCCTCATGTTCATCCAGCTATGGTCAAAGTGCGAAGACAAATTTGGAGGAGGTGAAAAGACTCAAGGAGAAAGCCATTGTAAGTAAATCTTACTCCCTCGTACACCGGTCTCTAAGCAAAGTGGTTCAAATATTCTCACAATGAATCGTCTCATCGACTACTTTCTTCTCTCAGGAGGAGCGCAGGGTTGTTTACATTGGTCGAATTCGGGGAACAATGACCCAAAACGAACTTAAAGAGCGCTTCTCTTTATTTGGCGAGATTGAAGAATGCACCCTGCACTTTAGAGACCATGGGTAAGTACATCAGCAGCTTACTTTACTCTTGCTATTGTAATAAGGATATGATGTAACTGAATTGCACTGTATTTGAACCTTGTTGGTCTCGTCTGTGACCTGTTGGGCCATGCTACAGTGCTATAGCATATCAGCCTTGTTCATAACTGGAGCCTCCTGGCCACGCCCACAGTTTGCTCTTTTAAATGCAAGTCACAGCTCAAACACGATGTACCTAGACCTGTGAAACTACAAATGAACACAGGATAATGGTTTGCATATCTGTCACAGGGACAACTACGGGTTTGTGACTTATTACGACACCAAGAATGCGTTCACAGCCATTGAGAATGGAAGCAAGCTGCGCAAGCCTGATGAGCTGCCATTTGATCTCTGTTTTGGTGGAAGGAGACAGTTCTGCAAAAGCAACTATGCTGATCTGGGTACGCACAAATCAACAGACACAAAGTTCTTGTAGCTCTCACCCAGAGTGCTGGTAATTCATCCAAATGGTATTGATTGTAGAAGATTGGACATATTGGCTCCAGGTTATCCCAATGCAGTGTGCTCAGCTGAGAGCAGTTAACTATTTGAGGGGATAATCACTGCAGCAAGTAGGCAACGTTTAGATTTTTGAGCATACGGTCCTTTTTTAAATGTGCTTTTTGTGTGTTTTTTTAAAACTAACAGACCCAATTTTTAATCATCAAAAGTATACATTAACATATTAAATGTTGAACACTTAAAAAGAATTGGTTGAAGTGGGACTACACGAGGTACTTTTCCATATTTGTGTATTACCTACAGTAGAAGGCAGTCTACACGCCCCAAGTTTGAAGAAACAAATTAGTTCCCTGTTGGAAAATATTCTAAATATAGCGTGCACTTAAAACAGTTTTTGTTTAGTCTTCAGCAGTACCATGCTGGTACCCCCGTCTGTTTTTGGGGGCGTACCTAGTACAAACCCCACTTCCAAAAATCCGATCTTACCTTTTTAACTACTGAAGTTTCACACTAAAGTGTTTCTTTAATGACGTCATACATTGCACACAGTTTTCACATGATGGGTTTTTAAATGTTGATTCGGAGTTTGTTTTGTGGCTCGATATATTTATATTTATATTTTACTGATCTAAATTGAAACAGAACTTAGATGATCATATAGGGACACAATAAAATGTCATAAGAATAATTCATTTTTCGGTGGCATGCCAAACATTTGGGATTTGTAAAATGCTACATCTGTGGTGTTGTCCCATCAATGGTTTGAAATTGCACAACCTGAGTACAGTAAGTTCTGCTGTCCTTTTTATTTTGATGCAATGCTGACTTTGTTTTCCTTCCTTTTTCAGATTTGAGTAGAGAGTACGAACCATTGCCTGCGAAAGGCAAGTTCCATGGACTAGACTTCGACACTTTATTGAAGCAGGCCCAGCAGAATCAGAAGAGGTAACAGGAGGCCTGCAGCAGGAAGCAGCCGACACTTACCTCAGAGCCAACGGTTGGCTTCTCACCTGCAACACTGTCTTTACATTTTAGTTGTTGCATTAGTTTTATTTTGTTTTATTTTGTTTCTGCAAGCTAACACCTTCTATTGAAGTGAAGATTTGTAATGAAAGTGGAAAAGAAAAAAAATGGAACAAGTCAAATTAAATATTTTTTTTTAAGTTTATTTAAATGTATAATCAAATCTGAATTGTATGGAGAGAATCATTTTTAAAAGGGGAAAGGTAAGTGGGATGGACCTCTCCAATGACTGGGAGGAGGTTGTGATGCATTGAATGTACTACAAACCTAAATAAAAAAATATGACTAAATATTGTTTGTTTTCATTCCAACTCGAGTGTCTGCATTGCTTTTGTTATTGTTTACATCTTCTTTATAAAGGGAAGTATTTGTCAGAGATAATGGGCCATTTGACATGTCCCAAGAAAACTATAGGTGTAATTAACAAAAAATGTGCCTTTTTTTTTTTTTGCTGCCTTGTTTTCATGGACCTCTTTAAAAGACTGCAGAAAAAGCTCATGTGAAACTAATTCTGTTAACGATCTGCTCGGTTCCCAGTGAGCCAGAATGCAAAATACCAGGCCCTGAAAGTGCTCTTTTTAATAGCATTAATTACACCTGTGCTATAGCCGTTATGACATGCCAAAATGTGAAAAGGGTTTTAATTGGTTCGCCATCACCCGGTGACACTCCTAATAGAACAGAGCCATCATAAAGGTTATTAGTAATACCAGTAGTAAACATGTCTGCTATGAAAAAGTCACATTAAGGAAAGGAGGCCTCTAAAGAAGCACTAGTGTGAATGAACCAATGCGCTGTCCTTGCAGAGTTCCTTGCTGTAGTGGAAGTTCTGGGTTATGACCAGATATAATTGGATAGTGATTAAAAATAGAGCATGTGTTTTGCTGACGGGATGCGCAGGTCCAGGTCACAACAATTGCGCAGCACCTCCCCTTTTGAAAATGGTGTCGGAGCTCGGATGCATTCCTAATATGGACTGGAGTCTCAATATATTAGAAAGCTGGTGAGATATTCAACACAACCACTGAAAAAGAGCGAGTCAACAGGCAACAGATGAACGTTTGCTTCAAGTTTAGGAATGTTACGACAATGAATTACTCCTTAAGAACTCCACGAGGTTATTACTGCTCTGAGCACCAATTAATCATGTCCAGTACTTTTCTACAGTTTATTACACCACGTACATCGTATATAAGACAATTTGTACAACTGCAAATGCGGTCATTTGGATAAAGTCATCGGTTGACCGTTAGTGACACTTATATACAGTAACAAATCATTTTACTTTTATTTTGACACCTGCGTGTTAACGTTTGTCGTCGCGGAATATGAATGTCATCTATCTCTTTGCCACGGTAACATCTTTGCGCTGTTTTGTCACACAGATCTAGTTCTGACTGGTTTAAACCAGTCATCGGCGCATGCGCACTCGGTGTAAACAGGAAGAACCGAGCGAAAACAAGGACAAATCTTAGCATAAAGAGAAGAAAATGATCGGACAATAACAAGCGAACGTCTCGTTTTCCTCTATATTTTAGCCACCGTGCATGTTGTCCATGCACCACCTGATGCTGATTTAGGTTTATCTTGTACAAGCAGTCGCTAACTTTTCGACAATTTTGATAGACTCGTTAATGCCGTACTCCAGCTAACGTGAGACAGGCAGTGGCCATTTATTTCCTGCAGGATTTGCTTGGCGTTTTTCTGCTGAACTACAGATATTTAAAAAAAAAAAGTTGCTCCGTGCTCGCTTGATTTTGTCTGAATTTGGTGACTTTACAAAATAAATCTGTAACAATGGTTCAAAAAGATAAGCCGCTGGAGACTCCTCAATTGGCCGGTGAGCAGAGCCCCAGCCCGGTCTCCGGAGAGGCTCGCGAGGAGGCCCCTGGTCCGGTGGAGGAGTCCGGCATCGGGGTCGAACCCACGGGCCACAGGAAATTCATATGCGGAGTCGTGGAAGGTAATATCAGCTAAAAACAATCACATTTAACATCTGATCCAGTCGTGGTCTGCATGCAATCATAAGCATGTCATCGGAATCCTGCAGCACTCCTGCAAAAGATGGAGTCAGTTGTAGTGCACAATTAATATGCTACAAGTTGATCAAAAAATCCTGTAAACATTGTCAGGTTGCACCTCAACTAAGGTGGAGAATACATTTGTTTTTATGTCAAATTATAGATTGAATATTTAGTGCAGTTTTGGCCTTCGGTCAGACTGAATAAGACAAATATTCAGAGAGTATTGTCCTCTAATGAATTAACTTAAGAAGGCCCTCATATACGTTATGACAATTCATAGACAAAGTGATTAATTAGTTTAGAAAAACAGCCGTAATAAGCAAAAAAAAATGCATGTCCACCTCAAACTAAATTGTTAGTTTCAGCAAAAATATGCACAAAAGATGTAGTTTGTAAAAATCATCACTGCAGACTGCCTGTAAACTGAATGTGTTGTTTGCCGATGCAGGCTTCTATGGTCGACCGTGGACAATGGAGCAGAGGAAAGAGTTGTTCAGAAGGTATGAACTATGCGACTTATTTAAGCAGTCAAATAATCGAACACCCAATAATATTACAGCTAGATCATTTTGAATTGTCGTACTGACTTTGTACAACATTGCATTCTACAGGCAGCAGAAATGGGGACTGAGTACGTACCTTTATGCGCCTAAAGATGACTACAAACACAGAATGTTCTGGAGAGAGCTGTACTCGGTGGAAGAAGCAGGTGAGTACTCACGATAGATCCTGGGATCAGCTGGAAAGGAAACTGAGTAATGCAATTACTATAAAAGCACAATCGTGCCTTCAGTTAGTGATGTCCCCTCCTCTGTTTCTTAGAGCAACTCATGACTTTGATTGGGGCCGCTAAGGAGTACGGGATAGAGTTCATCTACGCCATTTCCCCCGGACTGGACATCACCTTCTCCAACCAGAAGGAGGTTTCTGCACTCAAGAGGAAACTCGACCAGGTATCGCAACATCTTGTGTGATAGTAGTGTGAACGATGTGTTCAAAGTCTTTACATCCTCATACCATCAAATGTTCCCTCTATGTGTAACCTATTTAATGGCTATATTTTCTCTCCCCCTCAGGTTACTCACTTCGGCTGCAAGTCTTTTGCCTTACTTTTTGACGATATCGACCAAAACATGTGCCCCGCTGACAAAGAGGTGTTCAGCTCATTTGCACACGCTCAGGTTTCCATTACCAACGAAATCTACCAGTACCTGGGCGAGCCTGAAACCTTTCTCTTCTGTCCCACAGGTACATGACTTCTACTTCGGAATACGCACATCTTGCACTATTGTTTCATCTCCGGATTGATACTTATATTTGTTTGTTTGCCTTGAAACACAGAGTACTGTGGAACGTTTTGCTTCCCAAATGCCGCTCAGTCCCCCTACCTGCACACAGTCGGAGAGAAGCTACTGCCGAGCATTGAGGTGCTGTGGACCGGTGAGTCTTTCCTGTCAACGGACCACACCATCGCCACGGTTAAGCATACGATCATACATGTCAGAGCTGTGGATGAAACGATGAACCGAGATGTGTTTTCTGCTCCGCAGGCCCCAAGGTGGTGTCCAAAGACATCTCGGTCGACTCAATTGAGGAGGTGTCAAAAATCCTAAGAAGAGCCCCGGTGATCTGGGACAACATTCACGCCAACGATTATGACCCCAAGAGGCTGTTCTTGGGTCCGTACAAGGGCCGCTCCACGGAGCTCATCCCCAGGCTGAAGGGAGTCCTCACCAACCCCAACTGCGAGTTTGAGTCCAACTTCGTGGCGATCCACACTCTGGCCACCTGGTACAAGTCTAACATGAATGGGGTGCGCAAGGACGTGGTCATGAGTAAGTGTGATCCAGAGGTTAACTCGTTTGTAATGTTTTCTGTATACGGTTATACTCTGTCACAGGTTACCGCAACGCAGGTCGGTCGTTAATGCTGTTTTGTTCTGTTCGTTCGTCCGTCTTGCTCTTCACCAGCGGACGGGGAGGACAGCACCGTGTCCATCCAGATCAAGTTGGAGAATGAAGGCAGCGATGAAGAACTGGAGACGGACATGCTCTACAGCCCACAGCTTGCTCTCAAACTGGCCCTCACAGAATGGCTCGTGGATTTTGTCGAGCCTCATCAATACGACAGTGAGAGCATTATTATATCATATGCTAATGATTTACACTCAAAAGTCTTTGCATGGATGGCCTGAAGTGATGCATTTGTGACTGAAGGACGGGATGCAGTGAAGCCTAACTTTTGTCTTTCAGGCCGACAGGTGCCTCAGAGCGGTGACAAGAGCACAGCCATCGACGTCTCGCCCATGGCTGCTCCCTCTCTCTGCTGTTCCACAACAGTCACCACTGTGTTCCAGCAGCCCATCATGTCTCCAGCCATGCCGCCTCTCTGTTTGGATCCGCTCTCGCACACCATGGCGAAGATACCTCAGGAGGAAGAGGAGGTGAGGCTCATTGTCACTATGAGACCAAGTAGCGGCGCTTGAATGAGTATTTGAGGTTCCTTCGACTCGATGAGCTTCTTTCTGATCAGATTCTTGACATTTCACTTTCTTTCTTGAACATTTGTGTATCGGAGACAAAAGCAACTGTATGTGTTTGTGTTGCTCCTGTGCAGGTGGAGGGGGGGAAGAAGGACTCTGACGAGGAGCCCATGGAGATGGTGGTTGAGAAGCTGGATGAGCCGGAGCCAGAAGCAGAAGCTGACCCGGAGGAGAAGCAGGTTGGTCCCGTTTCAGCTGAGGACCTGAAGCCCATGGACACAGACAAGGAGAGTCTGACAGAGTCTAAATCCCCCGAGGAGTCTATCCAGGAGGACCCTGGGAGTGATATTGCCCCTATGCAGACCGACGATCTGCTCAAGCAGGTGCCGGAAATATTTGTGACTTTCCTTTTTTCATATCTGTAATTGAAAGCAAAAACAAATTAGAATTCCCTACGAAGTCAGAAGTATTTCTGGTTTGTGCTCTCAGGATTTGTTTGTGGCCGACGAGGAGCCCCCGTTCAAAGCAGAGCCCCTCACACTCGACGACCTGAGCCTGCTGGCAGAGCTCTTCTACCTGCCGTATGAACACGGGCCCAAGGCCATCCAGATGTTAAAGGAGTTCAACTGGCTCCGAGCCAACAGCAGCGTCGTCAGTGTCAACTGCAAGAGGAAGGAGACCGAGAAGGTGGGTTGATTCCTTGAACGGACACGCGTAACACAGTTGAGAGAAAGCGGTCCATCTGAGGAAACTAGTTCAACATTAACTGGACTTGGTTGTTGAAAACAAAATGGTGGATGTGTACTACCCACACTGCCCATTGGGTGGTGTGGTGATGATGGGAGACGGAGTGCTCCAGAGAGCAGCGTGTTCTGTGTGTTTGTGTGAACTAGAGCTCGACCTTTTTAAACCATCTGCCTCAAATACATTTTGACCTATTACAGATGTATGAATACAATTAAAAGTAAAGACGTGTTCAAATTGTCAAACCTTTGCTTTTCTTACCGCGACGCATCAAACTGTCTGTTTATTTATTATTTGTTCTTCTCTTCAATCACTGTGTTGCGTGCAGGTGGAAGAATGGCAATCAAGGGCAGAGAAGTTCGAGGAGATGTGCTGCTCCGTCATCCAGATGTTCACACGGCTGTCCAATTCAGCCAACCGCACCATCCTCTACGACCTCTACACTTACATCTGGGACATCAAGAGCATCATTTCTATGGTCAAGTCTTTTGTCCAGTGGCTAGGTACGTACGACGGTAACCACGAGGCCCTTCATCTTAGAGCACTACAGCAGCATCTCAATAGTCTGACCGAGTCTGGTAATCCGGACTATTCTTATTCTCAGACACGCACTTACGCACAAAGTAAAAACTGATTAAATAAAGATAAAGCACGATAATGGTGAGCTGCATGGATTATGTCATAGTCCAGAGCGACGTAGTTGAATGAGAGCAAAGTTATAAGTATTTTACACATCTTGCACAGTCTGCTTACTGATCAAAGACTGAGAGAGTAGTAGCTTATAGCCCCCACCCCCCATTTTAATTGATATAGATCAGCTATGCACCGATCAGGCGAGTTGCATCAACTCTCAATAGTTATGATTCTGTTCATTTGTCTTGTTTCACACCTCGATTGTTGGTTTGGTTTTCTGGCTAAAAGCCGCTTGCACTGCTGGCATCCTCCCTCATTTATCCCACAATAAGCTGCCCCCATCTTGGCGATCTCTGAACTGGGTCTCTGTGGCGAACGTCCCAGCAGGGTTACTGCTGCTTGCTGTGTATCCAGTAACATCACCGCTGCATTCCCACACAGACACACTTGCTTCCATCTCTCCGTCTGTGGGGATGGGAGCCAGGGGGAAGTCCTCAACCCCCCCCTCCTCCTCCTCCTCCTCCATGCCCTAGCGCGCACGCGAGCTTGAAGAGCAAGCTGACTGACTGACTATGGAAGGCCATTCTGGTGCATAAACTCAGAAATAACTGAATAGTTTGCTCAAGCTGTATCAGTGTGTGGTCCATCACCTTTTGTAAGAGAAGATATTCTTTCTCTTCTTTCAGATAGAGCACTGTGATGCAGTTTGTGTGACATTCAGCCTTGTGATAACATGTGACCTCATCGTGTTGTTTTGAATAGTCTGAAGCACCAGCATGGTCTGTGGTATGCCCCCCCCCCCCCCCTGTAACCCAGTTTCATTCACAGGTTTCTGTCCTATATGGTAAAGCTGAGGACTCTAGCCCACAGTACACAGCAGGCAGCATACCCACACTGGCAAAACCACGTCAAAAAAAAACAACCCACAATGCATCAGTAAACGATGGTAACCACTCTAGCAACATAGAGGAAATCAAGTGCCCCATGAATACAGTCATCTTTGAATACTCCTCGTATTAACTGCAGAGTCAGTAAGTTCCTAACTGTTGACTTCTGCTGTTGCTATTATCAGGTTTCTACATCGGCCCCCATGTTTCCCCTCAAGAGAAGCGGTGCAAGCAGCACTTGGTCTCACCCTCCCTGGTTATTGTCCTGAGAACACTTACTAATAACTATTCTCTACTGTTTTCTCCCTTCACTATGGACAGATGGAAGAATCCACAGTACAAGTTTCTTCTGCTGTCGGAGCGACAGTGACCGATGTATGCACAGTGCAAGCGTCGGGACTTTTTAGTTTCCCATTTGAACGGGATTTATGTATTTATTTCTTTTAACTAGATTTGTAAATGTAAGCAATTTTTATTTGGAGGAAAAGAAGCAGCCCTCCGGATGAAGTCACATTTTGCACAGCGACTTAGCTTTGAATCCTAAAGTGTTAACTCCCAAATTTCTCTCTTTCTAACTTGTTTTTTTGTTTCTGTCAGTAGGCCTATAGAACTGGCTCAAACCAGCCGGATGCACCTGCTCAAGGGAATTTATACTTGGCTTTTGAAAATGCACCCGCGGGCACATGGTCATCATCATCCCACACATTGGCCGGACCATGCCAGAGCAACAGTTGCATGTTTTCCAATGCAGTCTGAATGGATCACTGAGGTGGAAGTTATTCACCCACAAGATCATTCTTTTGTCCGTTTTGGTTGATTTTTCATCTTGTGTAAGCGAGTTCACAGTTCCTTCTCCGTGGGTGCATCCGCGTGCTGTGTTGTGTCAGTTCAACAGAGGAATTGTTTTAGGTGTCAGGGTGAGGTAATGTAAAGCACTATTGGGTGCTCTTACTGCGCGCTGCGTTTGTCTGGTCACATGACGGGGCTTGTCGTCAACCAGGGTTCGACTTTGTTAGCAGGAACACTTATGTATACAGACTCTAAGAGCCCTGTGTGCTTTAGATATATATGTGTGTGTGTGTTTCATCTTTGGTCTGGCTGGTTGTGGATTTTCAATAGTAAGATGAGAGGCCTTTAACTCAAGGAAGGTTCATGTCTTCCTGGTTTGATGACTCGTGCTGCCCGGTCATGTGACGAGGCAGATAAGATGAGAATGTGACTTCACACGGGGTGCTAGGAGGAGTGGGGTGACGGCAGCTGAAGCTTACTTCTATAGTCCGTAGACGGTATGGGTTCCGGTTCTGATGGTCGGTGAAAAAGTGACAGACTTGATGAATATTACGGTAGATCCCTCACCGAAGCACCAAAGGGGTGAACTGTGCTTGTTTCAGTTCCCCCACCAGGCTCTTTGAGGGCATGCGGTCCTCACTGCATGAAAGAAGTTATTTCTGAAGACCTGCATACCAGTTAGCGTGGAGCAGTTTGACATTGTTGTATTGACACAGACACTATAAGGAGTATTTATCTCTTGGACCTGATTTTCCTTCTGGCAAACACGTAAGCTTTAGTTGCTTGAGCCTCATTTACGATATTTCCTCTGAATATAGTTTATTCCAAATTAGGTCCTTTTAAAAAAAAAAAAAAAAGTTTTAACGAGTAAAATAAAATTCATTTATTTATATGGATTATGTAATTGGATACATATAACCCTTCCCCATTTCCCCACTCCCTTCATCTGTCAGAGAGCCCCATCCTGTGGTAACAATGTCCGCTTGGCTCTGCTCCTAACAGGGTGTCGTAGTCAGTCCTCAGCACAGTTCCTTAGAGGAGACCAAGAACCCTGGGCCTTTAGGGGAGGTCTAGCAGGAGAGTTCCAGGTATCTAATGCACTGAATTTACAGCAATCTTTATGGAAAAAAAAAAAGAGTGTTGTGAGCAAAGACCACAATGATAATATGTGTGTAGGTAGGAGGGGCTTTGGTCTGTCGAAGGTGAGCTGATTGTAATGGGTCGGGCTTCATAAAATCCGGGTTCACTCGTTCTCCACAGAAGCTTAAACCCGTGAATCATTTTTTGGGGATATAGTGTCAGGCTGTGGGAGAGTGACCTGAAACCCATCCTGACTGAGGGGGGGGGGTCACAGCCAATGCTCGGCATGGCGTTTTCTGATTTTGATTAATTTGAATTTCTTTCAGCAACTGCCCAAGGAGATGCTGCTTTCCCCCATAGCGCAGCGCGGCGCAAGCGAGCGCGGCTAGGTCTTATTTTCATGACATCTCATTTCTTTGCAGGAGCATACAAATTACCAACCCAGCCCCTTTGCCAGCGCACGCACAAGCATCGCAGCGCCAGCGAGAGCGCAAGCATGTTTTGCAATGAGAAAACTCCATGATCAAACACACCTTGTCCAGTCTCAAAGAAGCGTCTCCGTCCTCGGAGAGCAGCAAGACTCTCAACGGCAACTAACATGCTGTCGAATTACTCCGTTAGCTCCGTTAGTTACTTAATATTTTTATTTTATTGTGTAACCTTGTTTGCTGCTGCCACAGACAAATTTCCCCTTGGGGATGAATAGAGTATATTTCTATTCTATTCTATTCAAGCTCACATTGAATTTGCCTCATTGGGGTTTTTTTTCCTGGAGTTCTCTCAGCCTCTCTGCGCCAGCATCATTATTTTTCTCAACAGGAGGGTCCTGCGCAGCGAATATATTGCGATGTGTTACAAAAGGGAAAGGAGCATCTCCTTCAGCCAGTACAACCTTAGTCAGACCAAAATACCACCTTTTTTGTTTTATATTTGAAAAAGCAAACATGTGTGTGTGCTTGTTGTGCTATGTTCCTTCAGCCAAAAATGAGAAAGATGTGACGTTTGCTCTTGTTGTCCACTGTCAGTTCAACAAGGAACGTCAGTTTGAATCTGTAGCATTTTAATTATTTATTTTCTACCATATTTGTCGTCTTAAGCGCTTTGCTCTCTTCTGTAGTTCCTTTTGGTTTGATAGTGGCACAACTGTAGCAAAAGCACAGCGAGTCAATGCGTCACTGCACCTGGTCTCGGTGAAACTGAACCCGTTTCTTTTGATACCCACAGAGATTGTTGCCAATAGAAGGGGCAAACGATCTTTTCTTCCAACCTCCACCTTCAATGCCAACCTCCAAAATGTATTCCATAAGGCCGTACTATCCCAAAGATGTGGTAAGACCTTTGTGTTTGGTCTTTAACCTTATGTTATGTAATAAATGTATGGTTGCAGATATTATATTGGCCCGTTGTTGGCAGAACTGGCCTAGTTTAAGCTTTTTGAATGCTTTGCACTCAATGTGGCACAATACTGTGCTCACATGCTCTTTACAATCAGCAAATGTGCTGACGTTGAGCTTCTTTGTGGCCTTTTCTGGGCTTAGCTTTGGCTCTTGTGTCTCGTGTCATAATTGGTCAAGTGACAGCTGTACCCGTCTTCTTTCTTTCAGACTGCCATTTATAAAATCTGTAAAGAAATGTACAGCGAAGGGATGGAGGATGAACCCGCCTCTGATGAGGATTCTGATCTCATAGGAGACAGGTAAAGGCACGCATGGAGATAACTAACGCCTGCTCTGCAGTCGTCCCCCCCCGCAGTGCAACGCAACATGGCTGACACTGTCCTTCCTGTCTTTTCTACAGGTTAGTAGGAGGTCTCCTGACACTGAGTTCAGACTACGGGTTTGTGCTCGAGGACGATGAAGGGATCTGCGGTTATGCTCTCGGTACTGTGGATGTCCAGCCCTTCGTCAAGAAATGCAAGTTGAACTGGATTCCCTTCATGAAAGAGAAGTACGTTAAACCTGACTGCGAGAAGGACCTCACAGACGCTGAGGTAGGCTCGTCCTCCATCTCTTAAACCATCGGGATGTCTTTATTTGTTGGCACACCTGTTGTTGAGTTTTGCTTCACCGTCTCTGTAGAAAATGATGCTGAGTTTCCACGAAGAGGAGGAGGGTCTTCCAGACTCTTTCCTCTCCAACTTCCCCTCTCTCATCAAGGTTGACATTCATGCTAAAGTCACTGACCCCAGTGTGGCCAAAAGCATGATGGGATGTCTTCTATCGTCTCTTAAGGCCAACGGTACGTGGCAGCCCATTTCAGTTATGACATCAACGTTCATTGCTGCTACTAACGGACATATTGTGTTGTTGGTCATGTTGGAAGATGATTTTTGTCATTGTCTGAGTTGTCGTCTGTTTTTCTTCCAGGGTCCCTTGGTGCGTTCTGTCAGGTTCGTCAGACCGATAAGAGAATGTTGGACTTTTATAGTAAACTGGGATGCTATGAAGTGGCCAAAATGGAGGGCTTTCCCAAAGACGTCATCCTTATGGGCCGCAGCCTATGAAGAGACCTCCTGCGTCAGTAACAGACAGACAGAGAAGACAGCAAGGCTCCAACATGTTTGCTACCTTCATGAGGAAAAACGTCCATGATGATTTTATACTACATTACCATCTGGGCTAGCCCGGGGGAAAAAACCTCTTTTTAGGATTTGTGTACAGAAGCACAGCAGTCGCACACAGATTCCCTGCGCTGCCATTAGATGCTATGGCTCTGTTGGATCCAGCAGATCCGAAGCTAGAAGGCCGATGAGCGATCTGTAATCAGTCGATTTCAGCCAACATGGAAGAGTGGCACTCCAGCAATGATTGTGGGGTCTCACTTCTCATATACCTCCAGGAGGCAGGAAGTGAAAACTCCATAAGCCTTTTTCTCAGATTTAATCCGGTAGTCGTTACATGGATATTTCCCTCATGCCCGAATGCAAAGTGTCTGTGTCTGAAATGGAGGCAGAGCTGTAAAACGAGGGTGACCTGGCCTGTATCTCAGGTGATGTCTCACTTACCCGTACATCCTGAGAAATAACGCAGCTGTTGACATAAGTAGGACACCTTTATACAGGATGTGAGGTGCTATGTGTCACATCATGGATTTTCCCGTTGCTCCACAATAGACTTGGAGAAAGAGGCCTTTTAAGTGGCTTGTTTCTCTCAAAAACTGATGTGAAATGCTGAGCCTGCACAAATGAAGGGTGGGAACATTTGAAAATTGTTCGGAGTTGAAACCCTCCGTAAAAGATCGTCTTAGACCAGCAAGTGGAAAGTATTCATGAAGTCCTCTGAGTTTTTGTTCAACTAGCAGTAGACCTTTGGAAAAGCTCTAGAAACGCTTCCACGAGTTTACAAACATCAGCCCGTTTCTGTTCTGTGCTTTGCTTGTGGCCATTTTATCTTAATAATTCAGCTTATTTCCCTTTTTGAGCTATTGCCTTTTGGTTCATTGCCTTTGTATTTTAAGTTTATATTGCAGACCCCAGTGTCTTTTGTTTGAAAGCTTTCTGAGACGTATCGGTCAGATATAGCTGGAGTCGGGTCATTTTAGGACATTGGCCTAGTCGCTCAAATTCCAGACATGTGGCGTAACATCGACGGTCACATGTCTTAGTTTTTCCCGACCGGATCCCAAACTCCAGCGCAGAAACCCTTCAGTAAACCTAAGCTAACTGCCAGGGACACCCCTTCTTAAAGCAGGACCCGTGGGACCAAAATCTTGATTTTTCTGCTCTGCTATTAAGAAGAAAACTGTAATATTTGACAGGCGCCAATTTACATCGGAATGCAACGGTTAAAATAAGTAAGAATCCTAAAGACTTGGAAGCATTAACTGTCACAAAGCTGCTCCTTTTATTTCTTAACCACTAATTCCAAACCTGACCTGTGAAGCAGCGGGTGAGCTGGACTATGTTCAAGAGATGTCCTAAAAGAGAATATATATTTTTTTGCTTTCTATTGGTAATGTAAAATGATCACTTTACATCTATCGGCTTGCATCCCTCCCTGCATTGTTTCAACATGGCATCCTCTCAAATGAATGTCTTCTCGGGTTGAGCCTCGGTGAGAAATTCCTCGACCTTTTCCTATCTGTCCGTTGAATGTTTTATATTCTGACGCATTTCCCATTTTGTTTTTGTAAATCTTATGTAGTTTGTTAAGAAGAAGCGTTTGGACTACAGATAGGCCGTGTTCTGTTGGTTACTTGAGGATCATCAGTAGCTGTCTGCCAATGTGATGTTTTGATACTGTGTACATTCATAATGTGCATGAGGTGTAATGGATTTGCTGTGACAGTCATTAGAATAACCTCATCTCGTGCTCCATAGAGGAAGAAGCATGCCACGCACCTCTATGAGCATGATACTGTAGATCGTATAGACGGTCAATCATGAAGCGTTATTATTTTGTATATCCTTGTTAAAATTGTGGCTAGCTTTCTGTTTAAAGTGCTGGTCTGGTTACAATGCCCCGTCTTGTACAGCTATCCAATGTGCTGCCGTTCCAGCGAGGTGAGAAACACACCCACAGGAGTTTTCATTCTCGTCGCACAAGCTGTCTCATCTGCCAACCGGTCTTGAGGGAAATGGCTCCAATTGCACATTTTGATTTGGGGGGGGGGTCATAAAAGTGACACATGTACAATTTGTATGTAAGATACATAAGATTCAAAACTAATAAACCATGATAAAGTCATTTTGGTCCTTTGTTAGTCTTTCTTGCAGGTTGTTTTTAATCTCTGTGCCCTGAAGGAAGATTTGCTGTTTCTGTTTTGACAAATAAAGGGAAGGCCGTTTCTCTTTTTGGCACTTTAGGCAACAAAAAAAAGCTAATTTTATTAAAAATGTTCAAGTGTGGATTTGTGGTGTTTTAAACTGTCCTTTATAGTTGCATTATTCCTGAAACAAGCCACCGACTTATGGAAAATCGTATCTATGCATAAGTTGTCGTGAGTTCTTGGGGAAAAAAATACATATTTTTACATGCAGAAAGGCATTGTTAATGAATTTAAAACGTTTAAACCGAATAGAACATACATTTAACATAGTGCCATGTATCATTTATTGTTCTACATATTAATTATTAATGTATTTGTTTATCTAGATATATTGTTGTTGCTGGTATGTTGTATTGGCAAAGGGGGAGAAAATAAATAAATACATTTCCGAACCAAAGACGCACAGTGATGACGCGTCAGGCATGCTCGTAGTGCGACGCGCTTGTTATTTCTCGTGGAGGGTTCATTTGCTTATAAATCTTTAACGGCAAACCCACATTTTGTGCTTCGTCAACATGTCTCACAACGACGATGACTCCTCGGATCTCGGACCAGCTGGACAATCGAAGTTGGAGAGCTTCCTGTTCAGTAAGACCCGTTTAATACAGTTTGTCAGCTCTGTCGGCGCACACGTGGGTCTATACTGTGATGTCCCCACTGTGCGGCACCCGCTCTGATATGTCTGTGTTTCAGCCAGTGCACTAACTGGCATGAAATACAAAATAAAAACCTGTTCTTAAAACCATCCTGGTGTTGACGTGTCTTCCAGGCTGCGAGCTGTCCTCTAAAGTACCTTTCTACACTTTCCAAGGAGACGAAGAGGAGGACCTGGAGCACTTCCTTGAACTCAGAACAGTATGTACAGAGTTTAGTTTTATTCAGATTCACTGGATGCAAAACGGCCTCACTTCACTCAGTCTAACGCAGGTTTTACAGGAAGGTGTGTATCCAAGTAGCCAAGGCTGTTGAGCCACCGTTTTGTCTTCTAATCAGCTAAAACATACTTTAATCTGGCTGCCAACAGTCTGTTTGAATGAGCTGAATTATTTATTTGACTCTTGACAGGTGTGTCTGGGAGAGGGCGCCAAGGTGGAGAGTAATGTGGTGGAGGTAACGGCCATGAACCACCAAGGAAAGACCATTTCCGTGCCCATCGCCAACCTTCACCTCAGCTGCCTGCCCATGGTACAGCACAGGGGTTTCTCTCTGAATGCAGGTTACTGTGCCGCACATGATGGAGATGTAGCTCAGCCTTTACCTTCTTTTTCCTCAGGTGAGTCTGGGAGACTTTGAGCTGAAAGCCCCAGTGACCATCCGGCTCAAGGCTGGAACGGGGCCAGTTACCGTCAGCGGGTTACACCTTATAGGTAACACTTCCATTCTTCTATTTGAACCTCTCAGTGCTTTGGCTAACGGCCCACTGAGAATAGCTCCAACAGTTGATACATTCACTGTTAATGAAATAGGTCAGTGATATTTGCTATTTACATTCAACATTTTCAACAGAAAAATGATCATTTAATAATTTCTGACAGTTTTAAAAACAAAAATGTCATATTTACTCTGTTTAAAATGTCAATAGTCTTCTTTTTTTATTCTTTATTTCCAACTAGTTTTGGACAAACCATCTATTTGAATGGGTCAATTTGAGATTTGCTGAATAATTCATTCACTCATTTCACTGACCAATTATTCAAGAAAGTAATCTGCATATTAATTGATAACGAAAATAATTGTTGCAGCTACGGCCAAACACTGATTGGCATGTGGAACAATGAATGCAATTACCAAGCAGCTAATGTGTTGCTTTGTAATACCGTCATCCTCAACACCGAGTAGATGCCACAAACGTTTGCTTCTCTACATAATGTCATAATAGAGGAAGCATTTTGATCATTAGTATTCTGAGGTACTTCTAGTTTCTCTTTAGTTTGACTACATGAAAAGATAAACGCATCTTTGGACAATGAAATGTCAAATTTATTTTAAATTATCTAAATAAATCTTTGACACGCGGAAATGTATTTCAATTAAGTTTTAAATGTAGATTGTATCTGATTTGTAATATATTTCTGATATAATACCAGGATTCAATTTAAGACAGTGATTTAACGTCGTCCTTGTTGTGCAGCCTCACAGGATGAAGAGTCGGACCTGTCTGATGAGGATGACGAGGATGATGACGAGGAAGAGATCAGCCCCATTAAACCAGCGAAGAAGAAGCAGAAGCAGTAGGCGGAGAGGTCACTGATAGTCTTTTGGGATGGCCGCACTCACTCGCTGATATGTTTTTAAGAAATAAGGTTTTTTTTGTACAGGACTGACACGTTTTACGAAGTTACTTCTTCTCCCGCGCAGCCAAGTGAATGCTTAGTGTGGTGGAAGCTGAGCACGCTGTTGGAGGAAGTGAAATCATGACCTCACCCCTTTCCACCCGTCGGTTTGTCACTGCGAGCTCTCGGTGTCTGCAGTGTATTTAACGGCGGTTAGGAGGTTCACTTATAGAAGAACTGTTTTTGCTATTAAATGCTACCCATTGTTTTTATACTGTATATGATACAGGCACCACTGACGTGGAGTTATTGCACCGGTGGTGGAAAATGTGTTTTACCTCCAGTGGATTCTGGTGTTGTTTATAGATACTGTTCGTGTAAAAGCAAAATCATTGTGTGTGTGTGTGTGTGTGTGTGTGTGTGTGTGTGTGTGTGTGTGTACTTGTACTTGTCAAACAGGAGTTTCCAGACAAATTGGGATTCCAACTGAAAGGTGCAATCAGATGACTTGCATACATCCAATGTATTAAATGTTCTCAGTGCTCAAGACTATCTCTGTTTCCAAATTGTTTGTAGTTCCAAAAATATTGTTCATCTATGTGATATGGCATTCATAAATGTGAATATTTTGTACTGTAGTGAATGCATCAAGCAAACATTTTGTTTGTTTTCATTTATCTCCCATTTGAAATCATTAATAAAAAAGGAATTTTAAGCTTATTACATTAAGTTTATGTATCTTAAGTTTAGTGTCTTTTTTTATTTAGCCACATAGCAGAAAAACCAGCATTGTGCTTAAGTTAATAAAAAAACAGCACCTTTTTATTTAAAGCTCCTGAAACATGTTTTCAATTCAATGTATACCAGTTTCACAAGATCTGATTAAATAAAAAGATAAAACTCAGCTGATTTATTATGACTGAATGTGGTTTCATCCAATTTGATAAACAGTGGCCTGCAACAACAAAAACAAATCTATTAGTGAAATGACCAAAACCATTTGAATTCAAGCTAATTTTGTCCGAATATTTAGTGTTCTTGTAGGATCGTATTGTAATCGCTGTACTTCATGGTCTACAGGCTCAGAAGAAAAATAATAAGCAATAGAAAAACTAGAGAAATGAGTAAAGACAAATTTTCTCATAAAGCACCACTTCTAAACTGTTTAAAAATGATTGGCCACGCTTAAAGTAGATGGCGTGATATCAGCTGAAGCTTCGCGAAGGCAGATGCACTGTACAAACATCCTCTCGTGTAAACATGATCTTCAGCTGTAAACAGAAAATCACTGTAGTGGACTGTATAACTGGCTCATCTGCAGATTGTCAGAGCCGTTCCACTCCGTCTCATTACATTCCCTGATTGAAGTAGACACACTGCACTTCATCTTCGTACTGAGAAGCAATGGAGCTCCTTAACTCTGATTGGATGCAGCCATATAGCTAGGAAATTACAAGGACGCAACTTCCTCATCACATCCACATGTAAAAGTGTTTATTACCTTTTCTGGAAGATAACTGTCAACGGCAAAATAGCCAACAAACCTCAGTCCAGGCAAAAGTTGTGTCCATCTGTCAGCTGCTGTCACACAGCTTCTGTGGGAAGAGCCAGCGGGCTGCAGGCGCCATGGAGGTGAGATTGGAGGAGAAATGGGGAAGAGATGAGAGAAGCACTGTTACACCCGCCACACCTTCAGCTGATGTATGTGGAGGAAAGTGATCCTCTCAAACAAAGTGTTCAAAACCGCCCCCCTTTTATCCGACCAAATAATCTACCAATGGAAAAATACATCACAATCGTTGAATGGCTCAAAAACCGAAGCCAGTAGGGAAGAAGTTTTAAATACAACACTGAAAATACTACTAGTAAAAGTCCTGCATTAAAAAACTTTCTACATCTAAAGTTTTGAATTATTAGTCATTGTGCAGTTGTTTGTGTACGTTGCACTTCATATGTGCGGATGTTTGAGGTCATGCTATTTTAAACTTCTTTATATACTGGTGGGTAGTTAAATCTACAGTAATCCATCCTGTTCTATAAAACCAAACTTTTCATGAGATCAGCTTTGTGAAAAAGCATTTATGCAGTTGATCCGAGAGGCTTCATCCTTCAGTTTATCACAAACATTCATAATCAACACATCTGGAGAGACGTGGTTTTCACTGGAAAGGGAGGGCATGTGAAAACTACCTGGTAACTAAAGCTGTCAGACATAGTACTCCAGTTAAAAGCACAATAAATTTAAAATGTACACTACAAGTAGCTCAAACTTGTAGAAGAGGGAGCGGTTGAGGGAGAGACTGCTGAACAAACCACACCGCTGAGCACCAGATGTCCGTGAGACGAGTTTGGTCCCAACAAGTAAGTCATGCCAGGTGCTGCCATGGTAACATGAGAAAGGACCACCTGTGTGATGCCCTTGATGGCAGCTTCCTATTAACAAGGAGACAGGATTGAGGGGGAGGCGCAACGACAAGTAGGGTCGGGATGCTTTAATCAGAGGGAGCTTAAATAGATATGTATGATTTAGCATTATCATGGTGTCCCGCTCAAGCTCTTATCCTTCATTATCCCAAGTGGTTGACATTTTTGTGACAGTGATGCCATGTCTCTCTCTCTCTCTCTCTCTCTCTCTCTCTCTCTCTCTCTCTCTCT